TAACAGAAGAATTTCAAAAAAACAATTACAGTTCTTATGTAACTTTTGATGCTCTACAAGAATATATATAGAAATATAAAATTAATTGAAAAAAAATTTTTTCGAAATTTTTTGCAAATTATCCTTTACAAGAACGACATAGAGGTCTCGATCGACAGGAGATCATGCGACAAAAAACACTTAGTCACATCGAGCGTGGTCGTACTAGCCACTAGTGACAATCGTAAGAGTATTTCTTTCTTTCTTCTTAAAAATAAACTATTCTCAGGTTGAAAACGTTAGACGTACGTCTTATTTCCCCACTGATTAATTATTTCACCATTGTTTGTATTTACTGTTAATATTGTATTTTCTTTGATAACACCAAATTTTTCTCTGGCAAAGTTTTTACCATCGGGAAACGATCTAAACACAGTAATATCAAAATAGTGACTATTATCTGTCTGATATAGCTTTCTTTTAAACACACAGAAGAAAAAACTAGCATAGAACATACTCTGATGTCCATTCTCTAGAACCACGTTGAAATACAATCAATTGATTTGAATTTTTAACACATGCCGCTAAACCGGATACTTGTCCAAGCTGTATTTGATTCAGTGTTAGCGGATCACTTGGTAAAACATAATAAAGGGACTAAAATAAATAATAACAAAATAAGCAGTGATAGATGTATATAGTACATAAATTATCCTGTCTATTACTGGTGTTATTCTAGATATAAATAATGAAATCTTGTTTTTCGTAAAATTAGAGAAAGAATATTTATTTTTAAGCTTACATTCTATAGCAAAAAAAGAATAATAATTATTTGAGAGAGTTGTACCTTACAAAATCTCTCAATATAGATTCTAATTCAATATCTAATAACAGAAGAAAATAAAAGAAACACACTTTAGACAATATTGGCAGTGAGATGACATATTTTTCTTACGTATAGACACTGTCTTTACGTTTAACATACTCGAGAAACAATATCATTGAAATGTTGATTATCATTTTCTTCTTCGCTAGTAATATCTTCACTACTTTCATCTATTCTTCGTAGTTCAACATTTGTAAATAAATAAGAACATAAAACAAATACTTTCGTGAATAGTAGAATCATCTAAGAATAAAAAAATAGTTTAAAACTGCTGTAAAAAAAACATAATTTATTAATTAGACTTTAACAAAGAATAACTTAATAAAAATAATAAATACAGAGAACAAACCTAGATCATGGCATATATACATAGATAGTTCAGCCTGTTCACATTTGTTATAATACCTGAAGATAATTTCTGTATGAAAAACGAAAACTTTCATTTGTATTAAGTTATTCGTTGTTAAAGTCTAATTAATAAATTATGTTTTTTTACATCAGTTCTATACTATTTTTATTGATATTTATTTTGTACTGTTTTATCAGTTGATTACTTAGTAGAATCATTTCTTTTTAATTTAAAAGGTCACCGTATCTAAAATATCTACATAAACAAGTTTTACAGCATGTTTTTTTTTATTATCATTCATGTCACAGGTTCAATTCGTTTACTCTCTTTCTTATTTCTCTCTCTTCTACATTCCGTTTTCTTTTTTTCTAATTCAAACACCAATATATTCCAAAAGTAATATTCTATAGTGATCGATGAAAGAAAAATTGTGTCTTTTTTTTTTATTATTAAATAGCTTTACTATATGAAATATTGCTTGTGGGAAAATAAAAGCATAGAGAGAAATGAAAAATAAAATAAGATCTAGAGTATAGAAAGAGGACGATCAAAAGTGCATAATTAATTCTATGTGTTGAACTTGTAGCTACATATACGGATATGCTTGCCGAACAATGAAGAAAACATATTGGTTATGTCATCAAATTTTCTAATAAAATTTTAGATTAAGGGTATGGGAAAGTAGTGTGGAAACTTTTTGAAATTTTACCAATTTTTCACAAAGTAAACATCAAATTTGAAAACCAAAGCTGAAGAGTCAAGTGAATTGTCACCGAAAAAGCACACGATTAACAGAAAACCAGCAGGAATTTTAAAATGAATTCAAGTGTTTGATCAATGAAATGAATATATTTAAAAATAAAACAAATATAAACTCTGAATTATGAACAATATGATAGTTGAGTCTGTGAGATACTAGAGTTATCCAGATTTTTTTCCAAAATTTTTACCTGAAATCAGTTTTTGACTTGATAAAAAAAGTTGTTCAATCAGATTCAGACATTTATTGTTCAACTTCGTTTTGGTTTTTGCCATTATGTCATATTCTTTTTGTGTAAAGAATCGAATAAAAATGGTTTCGAAAGAAAAAACTTTCGCATGTTCTGGCCTATCGAAACAATGCATAATAAGGGTAAAGAAGTCTCTTCAACTGCAGCAGACGCAGATCAGAAGTTTCTTACTACAAATCACAATGCTGTATATTATTTTACAAAAAAGCGAGAATGTATACGATGAAAAAAACAGACAGATGATTCAATAAAAGCCTTTGAATGTCGTGAAAAAAACAGAAAATATCAGTTGAAGGAATTACGCTACTTTTTGGAGATTTAGTGTCAAACCTTAGGACAAAGACGTTACAGTAAGAAAAAACTAAAAATTTTCTCAGAAAATTTACTTAATACCATAATGGGTACTATTCATTTACACCATTTGGATAATCTTTATTCCACAGAGTAAAGAAAATCTCATTATAATGACGTGATTTCGTTTATCGAAGTTGCAAGACACGTGATCCAGTGCATGTCTTCAGTTTAAATAATATATCAAACAGCTTTAAAAGTGATTCCTTATAGAGTATGGAATACGTCAATTAATACTTAATTCTATTATAAAACTAGTTCTCATAGTAACTTTAGTCCAAAAAGTTTCCCTAATTTTCGTTCATTTTTTCTTTGCTAATTAATTTCGAGTTGATTACTTGTTACTATAAGTGATCAATGAATTGATTATCATTATTCATATTTGTTTATTTTTCTTTTATTAATTTGTCTTACCTATGAGAATGAGGATGATAAGGAATTAAAACGTGTTCCTCGAAGTTGCTCATTCCTTCAACATCCGACATCAGCTTGTATAAAAGAGTTGAGTGCTAAGAATAAACAACAATTCAAAAGAAATTCCAGAGTTACTGGTCAAGTATGATGAACAAAATCAACAATGGATCAAACGAAGATTGTTCAATTCTACGCGGGAAAATGTTTCAAAACTATTGGGTAACTATGAGCATCGACAGTTAAAAGAGTACTCGATAACAAATAAACTGATGAAATCACATACACACCGAATAGTACAAGTACCTGCGATATTGAGAATTTACGTGTTATCTTACTATAAATGTTCATTTTAGTTTTTTTTTATGAAAATACAAAAAATACTGAAAAATAGCGAAACTAGACAAATACTGCTACAAAATAGCTTTTTTATTAAAAATTGAGACTACAAATTCAAAAACACCAAAATAAATAAGACCACCTATGGACATCCATACGGTACGTGGTAAAACACCGGAATATAATCTAAAGAGAGAAATGTGATTGTGATATGTCCTTGTATGTATCGTAGGCTTATAAACAGTGTTGTTGATACAAAGTTTGAAAAAAGGAAGGAAGCCTAAGTAATTAGAAATTTTACCTTTGTTTTACTCAAAAATTTTCAGAACTGGGTAGGTTTTTTTTTGTAAAAGATTTTTCCCTTCTTAATCGAATTTGTTGTTTATAAAACATTCTGTTTGATTTACCTGAGAAATCCTTCTTGTTTTGCTATGTTCGAGATTACTGATAATGAATTACTTTTAGCATCAACATGTTCTCGCTAAAATGAGAGACAGAAATATATTGGTACAATAGCGCGTCATAATTTGTGTATGTTTTGTTACATAATAGATTTGGGCCTCTACAAAGCAAGTACAAATTGTGGACAATACAAAATTTATAAGTCTATACAAACTACTTCCGATAGAAATTACCTCGGTTACCTAACACAATCGCCAATTTTAGCAGAAACAAAATCTAACACTTGACTTACATTCGCTAACATAATTCTTGTTTTCGCTACATCGAGTGGTGTTGTTATACAGGCAGATATGCCACCTAAATATGAAAAAGAAAAATAATAGAAGAAAAGAAAACAGTTAAAGTCATGAGTTGTACCTGCTAACGAACCGCATACAGCTCCTTTCCACGGTTCAAGCTCTTTTACTTGTCTTTTACGCCATACTCTCTAAATGGCAAACGTTTATACGGACACCGAGATTAAGAAAAAATCTGCACTAACTACCTTGAAATATTCCCATAATGGAAATTGAAGCATTGAAAATGGAATCTAACGAAAAAAAATGGCAAAATTAATTTTATAGAAGAAAGAAACAGATGTTCGTTTTCTGCTTACTTCTCTTGCAACAGTTGCTATATAACCACGATAAAGTCCACCAATACCCTACCAAACAAAAGGGTCAAATATAAATCATAATGTAATAATAATATTTCAATTCGTTTCTTACTTCATTAGATATTGTCGTTCTGGCTATATTTATTAGTTGTAAGCCACTATTAACTTGTGCTCGTTGTTTGACAACTTCAACTGGAACGCGAATCAAACAAGCGGTCTAAAGATAGAAGCAACTAATCAATGTTAACAGTGTCTTTTTCAGAGCCCGAAATGAATCGAATGATTCGACATTCGGTTCGGTTCGATTCAGCTATTTGCCGAATTGAACCGAATTTAATTTTTGAAAGACGAATCAGCCACTCAGTTGAAACGCTTTAGTCAAGGTAAGCTACAATGACATCGTATAAAGTAACAAAAGCACCATGTAATCAAATTTTGTCCTTTTTTTTCTTTTATATCGCTGCGAAACATATAATCGCGTTAGAAAGAGGAACCTATAATATCTTTTACCGAGTTATTAAGATATCTACTCAAATTCATTTTCAAAGATAGAATTTTTGAGAGCACTAGAATGGATGTCGCACATAACCGACATTTGCTTATTTTTTGATCATTAATGTTGAAATCTTTTCAATTCCTTGTAATTCAGCTGCGATTGGACGAGAATTTTATTCCATCTTTCAAAGTTCCAGCGACATAAATTATATGTTCTACTCAAGTGTTCCACCTCGAGGCAGTGTATTTTAAACAAACGTGCGGAAATAAAAGTTTTATTTTTCATTGAACTAGCCTGAATTGAATGGGACCGATTCAGGATTTGACAATGTTGTCCCGAATCGAATCGAATCGAATTAGAGAATCTTCATTCGTTTTGGCGTGTACAGCTAATCAACATATTATAGACTTACAATCACAATCTCTAATCAGGCAAAAAAATATGTCGTTTTGAATAAATCCTACTGTTGTAGGAGATAGTCATAGTTTTAGCAAAAAATATTGTTTTTAATTCTCTACCTACGATTTCACCAACTGTAGCAGCTAGCATGTGTAGCTGAAATAAATATTTTTCATCAAATAATGGATTTAATTGCCGTTTGCATAAATCGTAGGAAGTAAAGAATAGGGCAGCTAAAAAGACAAATAAAAATCGTTTCACTCGAAACAATTATATCATTACTCACATGATGGTGCACTGCCAATAATTACAGATCCTACTCCAGCATAAAGAGATTTCAAGATTTTGGTATCTTGTCCCGTTCTTCTCAGATTCGATTGTAAACGTGTTTTTATTGTATCAATTGGATACAGAGATAAATCCACAACACAACCAGCTAAAGAGCCTGCCTGAAAAGGAGTTTATGTAGAGAGGGCAGGTATCTAGTGATGAAGAAACGTACCACAATTGACCGACGAATAACAAAACTCAAATTTGAATTTTCCTCGTTTTTAGTCATGTAAACAAAATAAATAATAACTTTCTGAAAGAAAAAGATGATGCTGACAAGAACTAGGAACAATAGCAATACACCGATATTTTTTGACATAGTTGAATAGTGTACAGGTGTAGACTAAGTATATTTAATATAACTGAAGAATTTTTCTTTTTATTATTTTTTTATTTATTTTTTTTTTTATATTAAAATATATTTAAAACCACTTGACTGTTAACGACGAGTATACTCGTCAGAGTAATTTTTATGGAAAAAAATGCAGACTATAGTTCCTTAACTCTGTTTTCCCTGTATGCCATGGGTCGGCTCTAATATCCTGCACCTATTGGAGCTCACTCTACTGACTCTGATGTTTCCTATAGACTATGTCGCTCGTTCTTGAAATTGTGTAATAGGAAGGAAAAAAGTCAAACAAGGTAAATATCAGTTTGTTAATTAGAAAGAGAACAAAAACAAACAAGAGTAACGGATCAAGGAACGAAGAAAATAAACTTAACAGTCAAGGGGTTTTAATAAAATATTTAAATATATTTTTATTAAAATTTTTCAATTATATTAAATGTACTTAGATTTATAAAAAAACGTCAAAAAGTCAAAGGGTGTTAATACGTATGGACCAGAGACCATCGCAAGGGAGGACTTTAGACTAATCTTGTTTCACAAAATCATTACTGGGCGAAGCGCACTATCACGCTTTTCCTTAGTTAGTCCACTTACCATCACAACATCTCAGCGAACTTCTAATCGATGCCTTTG